TTCTTGGGCATCTCGGAGCTCGGGCTGCACGTCTCCGATCCGAGTCGGCTCGACAGCACAGACAAGACCAAAAGCGGATGACCCCACACCTCTACCTGCACTCTGGCACAGGCTCTTTTCCTGCTCGAACAGTCGCTGTGGCTGCGGCCGGCTTCTGAAGAGCCAGCGCTTGGCCGCCCCTTCTTTGGAGGAGGGAATGCTATGAGGCTCACAGCACTGCGGGATCTTGGAGCCGACGAGCAAAGCCTTCACAGCCTCACGCGATGGCTCTGTGCTGTCGTAAATCGAGCCTCAAGCTCGAATCCCTCGAACCTGTCAGAAGGGCTCGGCGGCTCTCACCGGGCGAGCGTCCGGAGGCCCTTCCCGAACTGTCCTTGGGGCAGTGTATGAAGCCTGATGTGACTGAGTACCGATGGTTCTTACTCAGCATCTGGCGACTTCTGCTGTTCCTCCCGCATCCGCCGCACCTCATCCTTCAGGACGTCGACCTCAGCTGCTCCCCAAGCGATGCCACTCTGAGTCTTCCAGGACGCTTCGAAGGCCCTTGCAGTCAGGCGCTCGTGGTCCAACGACTCGGCCTCCATCAACTAGTCGGCTAACAGCAGCAGCAGCAGCAGCAGCAGCAGCAGCAGCAGCAGCAGGCTTATCTTTTGCCCTCAAACACTGGCCTGCTGCTGCAGCAGCACCTCGCAGTCACAAACACAGCAGCGCAGAATCGCACCAAGGATGAAGGTTTGGGACAGAGCCTGTTGAGAAGCCAAGCTTTGACCCAGCTGCTCCCCGCTTTGGCCTCGGCTATCTTCGGCTATCTTCGACTTGCAAAAACAGGGGCCGCCAGCCCCTGCGGGCCCCGACCGAGGGCCCGGAGCTCTGCCTGAAGCCCAGCACGCTCGGCCCGAAAGGCCTCGGTCAACCGAGAACGAGAAGCCTTGAGACGAAGCGAAGCAAAGCGAAGCAAAGCGAAGCAAAGCGAAGCAAAGCGAAGCAAAGAGTTCAGAGGAGGGGGGTCCTCTGCCAAGTGCACCCTCGCGGCCTCGCAGGCAGCGGCGAGGCGCCGCTGCGTGGCGCGCAGCCGCTTCCGGCCGTCCTCGAGGTCCCGGCGCCGGAAGTCCAGGCCCTCCTTCGCCAAGCGCAGCTCCGACAGCGCCGAGGCCTGCACAAAACAGCGATCCGCCGTCACTGGAGTTTCAAGCAACACCACCCGTGCGGATCCGGCACTCTCATATGGAGACCCCGCCCTTGTGAGAGCAAGCGCGCCTCGCGCTCCAGATTTCAGCTAAGTTCAGTCTGGACAAGCTGAAAGGATTCCAGACCTTCATCCCTCCATCACAGATCATCGCAGCATCGCGGGACTCTGGGGCTTCTTGGAAGCTTTTTTGACTGTGCCCCGGGTCACAGGGTGGCGCCTTGGGTTGGAAAGTGCCGGCATCGAGCCCCACGAACAGCCTCTGATCCATGGCCATGGCGTTCACTCATTCAGCCCTTCCTTCCTCTGCGGCCCTTTATATGTTTAGCCCTTTATCTGCAGCTCAGAGGCCCAAGCACAAAGCCCGAATGCACAGACAGACATGGGCAGTATCGAGAAAATTGCAATACTACCACTCGGAAGAGTGACATGAAACCCGTTCTGAGGCATGTGCTCCATGGTGGGATGTGTAGGTAGCACTCGCAGTTGAATTGACAATGAGGTGTACTACAAGGTGTACACACTGATCAAGTGAATCAGGAAATGCAAACTGCACATGTTCTTGAGTGTTCTGAACTTGTTGCGTTTCATGTCGGCAGATCATCCTGCTTAGCTTGAACTTGGCAATGTGTAGACAAACGATAGTCTCCACACGCGTCGGGAGCAATGTCTGACCAACTGCACGATGTGACAGTGTGAGGCCCCCTCTCTTGGCGACGACCAGCCCTTTACCATAGACTACTAGAGGCACAACCCGCTCGCGAAGCCGAGGATTTGCACTTGTTCTGCTGGCAGAAGGACGGAGGCTCCGTCATTCGGACTTCTTCGAAAGGCGGTGATCTGCCCGCTCGAAAAGGAGCCGGCAGAGCCGTTGCAAGTCCACGATCTCCCGGAGCTTCTTCGAGTCCCAAGCGTCCTTGGGGGAACTTCGGAGGCTCAGCTGGACCATTTTCTCCAGGGCGTCTTTGAGCTCCTTGGGGACGGGGAAGTTGGCGAAGAGCAGTATGGGGCCCTCGTGCTGCAGGCATTCTGGCCGCACAAACTTTTGTAGCTCCTTGGGCACCTGGGATAAGTAGCCAAACTGCAGGATCTTGTAGGGGAACTTGGGGAGGTCCTCTTTGGGAAGGTAGTGCTTCGCATTCGCAGGAGAGTAGATTAAAGGGTCCATGAAACCAGCCTCCCTTTGCTCGGGGACGCCGGTCATGGACCACCAGCGGGGCATCTTTGGAGCAAAAACATTCCGAGGTATCAGGAACATGGGACAACATGACCACGGCGGCACTTCCCCATACCAGACGTCGACCATGGTCAGGGACACGAACATGCTGCAAGCCGTGTACCTCAAGGAGCTTCTGTTCAGAGAGACAGAGAGACGCGAGCGATAGTGAGCGAAATTGAGAGAGAGAGAGAGAGCGGGAGGGAGAAAGAGAAATCAAAAGCGCTGTCAACTAGAGAACGAACGCCCCCGACCGTATTTGGAACAGCGACATAGTGTGCATCCATCCATCCATCCATCCATCCATCCATCTTCCATGCATCCGTGCATCCGTGTATCCGTGCATCCATGCATCCATGGATCATGCATCCATCCATCCATTCATCCTTGTGTAAGATGTTCTGCGAACCCTCCTGCAAACTTCTCCTGTAAACCTTTCCACAAACCACACCAAGTATTAGCGGCATTCAAGACAGTGCCCGACATGTTTCCCCCATGTGCTGGCGGATTCATAGACATAACCACCGTGCTTTCGCTCTGATGGAGCTCTTCAGCTCCCACTTTTGCGACCCTTCCAGCCAAAAATCGCCTGCATGAGGCACGACCAGGTCTTGACGCGTGCCTTCGCCAAGACGTGCTAGTTGCTCCTTGGTGTTGGTGGATCTGAACGTTCTTATGTTGTTCACAACAACTGAAATTGAAGCGATTGACAATTTGTGCGTCCTAAAGTCCTCACCATTCCCCTTGAGCATCCTGCCTCCATCACCTTCAAAAGTGCTTCCTGAACAGCCGACAGCACCTTCAGACCACCAACTTTCGAAGAGCCAAGTGCCTTCAGCGATCACCTGGTGCGGATAGCGTTTCGACCCCCTGCAACGACAGGCCAGACGTCGACCTGGCACTAGACATCCCGGCTCGTTTTCGACGACCCCCTGCAATCTCCTGGTCGCAAAGACAGTAACTCATCCGCTTGTGAGTTTTTAGTCTGCGCTGTCTTAGCCGAATATTGGGACATATCTCGTAGTGGTGATATCACGTGGTGATTTTGGAACGGGGCTCCGTTCGGTGGGTGGGTTTGGTGCTTGTTTTTTGGGCCCGATTGCGATCGTCTTTCTTGGCGATTGGACATATTGGACCTACTCTCGGGCGCTGGGCGCAGTGACTTCGGGGGTGTGACCTGAACTAAGTGCCATTTTCACCGGCAGCACCCAGATCCCTGAACCCGCTCCGAGACTGTTCTCACGAATCGTCGCGGCACCAAGCGTGCAGCACCACGGGGGGCGCGGCGACTCCTGCCAGCCCTGCCCCATGACCAAACAGACTACACGACTTTGAAGACCTCACGAAAACCTCATACCATACCATCCATCAACCATCAATCTATCTCATCTTGCGGAAACCACCTCCATAAGAAAAGCCTGTTGCAAGGCCAAGGCTTTCGGAAAATTAAACAAACGGAGAGACACGGAAATAGAGACGCTGTTGCCAGGTGGCAGGAAGCCAAGGCTGAGGCCCAAGTCCAGGCCACCGAGACTTGCGGCCCCTTCTTGAAGAGACGCCCACGTCATTTGCCAGGAGGCCCCGGGCAAGGCAAAGAGCAGGATGACCGGACACCACTGAGACAGGAAGTCGAAGCCCTGCAGAAAGTAGACGCCTCTCTGGGCAGAGACGGCGAGGGCAGACCCTGATCCCTGACAGCCTGACCCGACCCTGGAGCCTGTATGAAAGGCGAGTGCGGCACAGGCAAAAGCGGCGCCAAGCTCCTGTGACTTCAGAGCCAGTGGAAAGCAGACTTCGAAGAGCAGCGACAGAGTCCCAGCTAGGACCTCGGAAGATAAGAGAAACCATACCTTTCTTGGGTCGGAATCAGGTAAAAGCTTGCTTCAGGAACTGAGAAGTGTTTTCTGCAACTGCGTGGCCAGAGTCCGAGGGCACTGGACAGCCATGGCCTGGAGTTGCCAGGTGAATTCTCCACCGGGTCTTGACCACATGGCATCGAAGGTGTAGGCCTGCAGCGTTGTGCCATTCCCCCAGAACTGTTGGAAGTAGAGGGAGCCTGCAATTTTGCAGAGGCCCGAGCCGCAGTAGGTCGCCGCCACTTGCAGCTTGATGAAGTCCAAAGCCCACCAGGCCTCCGCTGAATCCTTCCACGTGTAAGTATCCTCGATCGTTGGTGACAAAGCCATCATCAGCAGGGTGCCTGGGATCAAGGTACTCCCATGACCACCGGCTTTGGTTGCACAGAAGATCTGCGAGTAGTAAAAAAACCAGGCCAGGAATGCCACTCCAAGGCAAAGCCTTGGAGCCCAACGGAAGCAGGAGCCCAAGAGACTAAAGCACAAGGCCGCGCACGCGGCGTCGTGCTGCAGGGGGCTCAACCAGGGGGCCGGCAGCAGGCCATAGATCCTCTCGCCCGCATGTCCCAAACCCCGTTTGCGGCTGGGCTCAATCTTGGAAGAGGAAAACCAGCGGTAGAAGCTCCGGTGCCCCTCGAAGTGGTTCCAACAGAGACTTACCGCAATGAAGGCACAATAGCAGCATTGGAAGCTTCGGGCTGGGTTCGCCCTTGCATGCAGCATCCTCGCAAGCAGTGGTATGAGCCCCAGAAGCCATAGCACCGGGGCTCCGAAGTTCCGGCCACGGTGGAGCCTTTGTGGTGCAGGAGGTGCCTTGCCGTTCCCATCATGCATCACTACCGATAGACAGAACGTTGCAGGGTCATCGCAGGGTCAGGTCACCTTGGGTTGTTGTGGGAATGGGGGGGGGTGTTACAGCGGTACATATGATGCAATTTTCATGCAACATGGCACGGTAAACATGAGAGGCGCGCTGCCTTCCGGACATCGCCTCGCACTCGTACTCTGCCAAAGTCTGTGTTGCGATGTGCACATGGCTGAACGGGCTGCAGAACGAAGGAAAACGACGTGAGAACATGTTTGCGACACATGTGAGACGCGACCCTTGCAGGCACATAAAAGGCGGTCTGCGCTGGCCCCCTCGTTTTGCATGACTTTAAGCTCACAATGTGGTCACCAGCTTTTCGACGTTGTGGTGTGGAGAGCATGCCCTAATGGGCTGCAGAACGCTGAAGCTGACAACACTGCACTCGACATGTGATGTGATGCAAGGAGAAGCCTGTCAACTTCACCGGTTCCGGCTTTGTGCCCTCCACATACCAACTCTGGTGGTGAAACTGAATTAAGCAACGAAGAGTTTACATGCCAAAACGAGTGTTGCGATAAAATTTGACAAGCGGGTAGGCGCTGCTCTTCGGCTGAGACATTTACGACGAAGACACACAGACCTTGTTCCTTGAGGGCTTCATTGGGGCTACACCGGCCTGCGCCAGGAGACAAGTAGCACAGATTTGGACACTATATGTTTGGTTCACATGCTCCTTCACTCGGCCCAAGACTCAAAATGCGGCATCCTGCATACCTGCTTCGAGGTGCTGGCTCGCTCCGCACTTCCACCGCTCACGGGAATCACACATGAAGTTTCGACCTGCCGTCAGAAGAGGCAATGGCCGACTAGCAAGCCCAACACTGCCAACCAAATCTCTAGCTGCAGCAAGCTGGAGGCACTCTTCACCTTCAAGTCCATTGCCTCCCGACATCACAACAGAGGAAGGAGTCTCAAGAAAGAGTCTGACATGTTGTGATTCTTTTCGCCCGGCCCCTCCGACCAAGCCCCCCCGGCCTTTGACATTCCCTCGAAAATGTTCCGGAACTCGAAGGCTGACATGCCCCAGACGCAGCAGATGGCCATCGGCATCAAGACCCATTCAATCACACTGCCCCGCACTGTGAGCTCGGGGTGGGTATATGCATCCGTGAGCAATGCCGCAAGCACTGCCGGGAAGAGCACCAGTCGACAACAAATGTATGCCAATGTGAGGAATGCGGAGTTCAATTTGTAGAGGAAGCTCTGCTTCAGCCGCTGCACATCTGAGCAACACTTCACAAGCTCCACATTTGCTAAGAAGATGTTCGAAGACTCGCAAAGTCCTGCGATGGCACCCCAGAAGTGCATACTGCCTTTGACCAGTCCTGTTCCATACACCAGGATAACCATGACATGATGCACAAGGATGCGCTTGCGAGTTGCATTCATGCCCTTCCAAAAGAGGAACGGGATGTGAACGAACAGCCTCGTGCAAAGCAAAACACAGCCATGGATGGACGAAACGCAACTGCCGTTCCAGCGTGCATCCACGCTCTGCGACAGGATATGAATGGATCCAAGAGCACTTGGCAACCTTGGCCGCAGAAGCAACAAACATCCCTGCTTCAAAGTCAGAATTAGAACTTAGGGCTCGCTTTCCCACTGCTTTCCCACAACTCACTTTGGGGTTGAGCGGCAGCGCGATGCTGAACAGGAGCAAGCAAATCGCATCTGCAGCCCAGAGGTCACCCCCCGGTTCGCCACGGACTTGCTTCGGATCCCGCACTCTCGGGAACAGCATCCATGACACGGGGAGTGCCACCACCTGTGCAATTGCGCAGATCGTCACGTAGACCAACACCAGCTTCCAGAGCCCTGCAAGATCCAAGTCATATCGCGGCGTGATCATCATTTTCGCGTCCATCGCTCACAAAAGTTCTTATCTTCAGATTGAGCCATTAATGCCGTGCTGCAGACGCCTAGGCTTTCAGCTCTACAACACCTCTGCTCCGCACTGCAAAAGCAAATCGCAACATCCTTTTGGTGGCAACCGAGGTATCCGCTAAGCCACCCCTGGCCCGCGTTGGCAGGTGCAAGGGGTCTCGGCCGCCTTTCACTTCGTCACTGGACCTGCAAACACTTCAAGACTCAGCCTTTAAAGGTCTTCATGCCATGCGGCCTTTCTCCAGCGTCTGGCGGATCATCTCCACCTGTTCGGCTCTTCGGCTTCGGTGTCCGGCCCTCCACTCCACTCGCTGCCGCATCGCCTGCCGGTGCTCGGAGCCTAGCAGCCGCTCCGCGAGACGTAGGGCCCGCTTCAGGGCGGCCTCCTTGGCAGCTTGGAAGCAACGACGGCCAGGGGCCGGCGCCCGCCACTGCCAGGCCCCGAACGGCAGGCTGCGGCTGTCCCAGGTGAGCCCGGCAGAGGCCCAGGTTGTAGAGGGTCAGGGCCACCTCACTTCGAGGAGCGGGCTCGCTCCAAAAGATGTCACAGACTCGGCTCCAGGCAAAGGGTGTGTCAGGACAGGAGGCAGCTAGGATGGCCAGAGCCTTCAAACAGGCGAAAGTGAGAGCCACGAAGCACGTGCTGCGCAGATGCCTGCTCGAAATGTTCGGCCGCTTTTTGGTAGGAGCCTCGAGCGAAGTAGATGTTGCCCAAGTTGTTCACACCTTCTGGCGAGGAGTTGCTCTGGGACAGTAGAGTCAATGAGGCTCTGGCATTCTGCCACGCCAGGATGCTCCTTCCCCACGATCTCCTCCATCGCGGCGCGCGGTGCGCGAGCGCGGCGTCGCGACCCTCAGCCGATTCGGAGCGCCTTGCGGAGCTCCAGGGCCTCACAAGCCCAAAGGCGACGGCGGACGACGGACGACGGAGGACGGCGCCTGCTGGTGCTCTTGGAGCGCCTCCCCGGCCTGCCTGCAAGCAGGAGGCGCGCAGACCACTTTCCGCCCGGGCCCGCGGCCTTCCTCTGAAGTCCTCTGAGCTGTCGGCCCTGCGTCATGGTAGGCCGCGCCAAGGCTGCTGCAAACCTCTGGGCACACAGATGGGAAGCTCTCGCACGACAACCAGGCGGGGCCTCTGACTTTGTGAAGAGCGCATAGGTCAGCGCCTCGAGAGCGGAGCAGAATCGTCCGAGACATGGGCTGGGCAGAGCGACTCGCGATGCCTTTGTGCGCTTTCCAGAGCTCGAGCCCATGCGAACACTGATCGCATCCTGTCTAAACGGCCAGGCGCCGATTTCCACTTCTATCACGACTCTGATCGATTCCTCCACAAGGCCTTTGGCACGCTGGTAGAACAGAATCGCCTGGCACGACACGGAAAGAGGACTCTGATCATGAAGAACGGACAGCCTGTGCGGGGTCGCCCAGCTGGTGATGTTGCCTGCCGACCTACACAAACGCTGCTGAGCCGCTGCACCCCACGGAGACCCGACGGTGAAAGCGCTGCGAACTACGAGCGCCGAACTACGTACGAGCTCGGCCTCGTGGAGGCTCATGGCCAGGGGCATGGCCTTCGTGGTCTTTCGCAGCTCCTCCTCCTTGCACGCAAAAAAACTGTGAATGCTAGAACAATCCGATCATCGGGGCAAGATCCTCGGCCGCGTACTCAGCCTCTTGAACACGCAAAGTCTCCTGAAGATGCAACATCCACCAGAATCCGCAAGATCCTATCCCTTTCCTATCCCCTCCTCCAGGTAGGCCAGGCCCGTGGCCGCACGGCCAACGTCTGCGCCCAGCGTCTCGAACTTTCCCAGATCTCAGAAACCGAAGCCAGGATGGCGCAGCGCTTAGGTGCAATTGCTGAGGTTGAGCCGGCAGTGTCCGGGAATCCGACTAATGTAGGTGTTCGAGGTGCTCGAGGCGCTGGCACTCGGAGGGCTCGTTGAAGCACTCCGCGAAATGTCGAAGGCGCTCCTCAGGCAGTCTTGGACAGCGAGCAGAAGCTCGGACGTTGCACCCGAGCTTCCAACGCATGGCAGGACAGCCGGGGAATCCCAGCCAAGAGCTTCCTGACACCTCTCTGCTGCGCCTCGTGATGCGGAAAGGAGGACTTCGCCCTCTCTCTCAAAGTGCTGGGGCTGCCGCCCTCGCCAGGCGCATTTGATCAGAGAAAGATGGCCATGCGATGCTCAGGGAAGCAAAGTCGGAAGTTTGGGCTAGCCGGCAGCCTTCTGGATCCTGGTGGGGCTGGGGGGCTGGGCGTGGCTGGGCTGCATGGTTTTTTTTCGGAGCCACTGCCACCAAGCCGGGACGTCTCCAGCAAAAAATACTGGCCCATGCCATGGAAACAGGTTACGAGTAGGACAAGACAGAAGACGCTCCTTTGCAGGCGGGTGCTGAGTCTTTGGGATGGGGTGAGACGGAGGCGGAGGGGCATCAGAGGACCAGAGCTCAGGCTGTCCACTCCTCCATAGGTCGGCCCTCGGCGATGGCCTTCCGGATCATGGCTTGGAGGTTGGCCTCGGCTTTCAGGGGCTGGGGCCATGGGAGCCATGGGAGCCATGGGAGCCCTGAGGGAAATGGAAAGAAGAGAGGAGAGAGGAGACAGATTCGGCCTGCAGCTCGCGGCGCACACGCTCAGCCCCGGATTGGAGGGCTTCAGCGGCGGCCTTCCCGTGGAGTCCAACCGCCTCCGGGCAGCCTTCGCCCCTTTCTGGTGCTTCCATTCCTTAGATTCACGGACTACAACCAACAAGACATAGACGTTTCGTACAAAAACGACAACATTTGTCTCGCTCTGTGCGCCAGGAAACCCTTCGGCTGGGGAACAAAGGGCTTCAAATCACGGGAAGCGGGGCCGCGCTCATCATCTGCTCCCTTTCCCCGTCCAGCTCCCTTAGGACGCTCTCTTCGGTTCGATCGCTCGCGACTGTCTCGTCGCCGCTCTTCGACTCCGCGACGGTCCCGGTCCTCCCGGCGGTCCTCTCGTCGGTCCTCTCGTCGGTCATCCCGGCGGTCATCCCTTCGGTCGTCCCTTCGTTCGTCCCTTCGGTCATCCCTTCGTTCCTCCCTTCGGTCGTCCCTTCGGTCGTCCCTTCGGTCGTCCCGGCCAGGGCGCCCGTCGCGGCCGTCTCGCAGATCCCGCTCACCACGCTCTTGGCGACCATCACGGCCGTCGCGGCCACGGCGATCGCCCTTGCCGCGGTCTCTCGAGCGGTCGCGGCCTCGGTCTCTGTCGTCTTCCCCTCCTTTGCCACCACGCTGATTGCCCTCATTCTGTAATCTTTCCAGGTAACTGCCCTTACCAGGCTTTCCCGGTGGGCCAAGAGGCTCTCCATTTGCCATCTTCTTCATGATCATCATGGCGGTGGCTGATGGTTTCCCTGAACACTCGAAATGCCGCTCCAGGTCGTAGTAATACTCGCCTTTTTTTTCTTCGGAACATCGTGCAAGGATGTCGGAAATGCTAGTCTCCGCTATCTTGTCCAGTTTGAACTTATCAACGAGGTGTTTCATTCTCTTGTCGCGATTCACTGCCACAAACGTCCCGTCTTCTATCTCTTTCATTTTCGTCACTAGCATTCCGCATGGCGAACGTGCCTTCTCCATCACTTCTCGAAGCTTTCGCAAATCTTCATCCCACGTGTCAGGGCGATCCTTCATCAGCTCATTCAACTTCTCGATGTGCCGCGTCTCAACGTAGAATGCATCACACAGCTCTTGGATGTCCGGGTGGATCCTGCCATGCTCGGAGATGTACTCTTGTTCCGCCTCCCCTCGCTTGGAAAACCCACATCTCCAGCAATGGAACCTGCAACCACGGGGATGACGACTGCAGCGCCAAAACACTGCTTCGGAGCTGTTTCCGAGAATCCTGCCTGGACGCGTAGACGTTTGCCCCACATTGAGGGCACGTCCAGTCACCGGGCTTCAATCCCGGCTTGATCTCCAGCTTCTTGGCCTCCGTAGCACCTTAGCGCTTCCTTACTTTCCTTCTGTTTCTGAAAGGACTCCATGCTCATTTGGCATGGTTATCAGAAGTGATCTTAGTATATGATGACCTTGCCATCTGATCATAATCTTATTCTCCTCGGGTCATGACGAGTATCAGTCTCATCATATACTGACCGCCCGCGCTCTTCAGCACAGACTACAGAGATTACAGAAGTTCTTGAACAAGCGTGGCAAACAGCATCTGCATTTTGACCTTGACAAGCATGATGATAAGGTCACAGTAGCCAGTGCAACCCTTGATTCCTGCGACCATAATCGTTTTGTCTCTTGCTCCGCTACATGGTTCCCTCGTTCCACGCAATGCCGAGGGCTGCACCGCCTGGCGCCACAGCAGCAGACGCCGCCTTGGCGCCGTTGGCCTGCGCCTGGCAGTGTTTTCCGACATCTTCCAGCGACACGATGGAAATCAGGGGTGCAACAGAAATCGGTCTATTATCGTACAACTTTGTCAATGCCCCACAAGCTTTTCAGACATGCTCATCATTCTCCGCATCCTAGTACTTGAAGCCTCCCCATCCTCATCCTCGGAATAATTGACATGACAATCATCACCGTCATCATCACAGCTCACTTGCTGCTCTCGCCTCGCCCGAGGCGATGGGATGTAGATAAACACCAAATCCCATCATCACCGTCATCCATCATCCTCCACCTGTCTGCCAAAAATCAGGTTGCAAATGTGCTGGGCTGACTGTCTAAAAGCCTCAAACATGATGGCAAACGGCACACAGGAGGATTGCTACGCCATGATGGTGAGAACGCGACAGGGATTTTGGCTTTACATCTTGAGGGAACTTCGGCTTCAGCCTGCTGCGCGGTGTTTACGGCATTTTCGAACTGTCCTGCCACATTCGGTTTAACAGCTTTTTCCCTGGCTGCTGTCGCAGTTTTGGGGATGGGCGTCTGCAACTTCAGCCGCTGTCACGGTGCAGCCTTGAAGCTGCCAGGGTGGCTGGTAGTGGGTATCTGTCATGGTGGCTGTGGTAGTTGTAGCAGCAGTGACAGCGGCGGCCGCCGCCGCTCGCCCTGTTCCTGTCGTCGTCGTCGTTTCGTCACCTCCACCGTCGTCGTCGGCATCTGTACTATAACCGAGACGACATGTTGCAAATACAGAACGGTTCTTATTCCAGCGCTGGAGAATCATCCTGCTAGACTTCCCATCCACCTGCATCGCCATCTGCGCCATCATTGGATTTCCTTGGAAACGACTCACGCGGCAGGCCCGACAGGGGGGGGCGCGGGTATGGGATGCATCTACTCGCCAAAAGAGCAGCCGATCTCAAGAGGCCAAGCTGAGTCTCCACCCATCATGGCCATGTTCATTGGATTGAGAGGCGGCTTGCTTGCTGTCCCGAACCTAAGACGGCGGAGCATACGAGCCTTGACTGTCCACAGCACCAATTGCCCCAGGGGGCGTCGTGGGGTTGGTCATGGCCATCATTGCCTGGAGCCTTTGAAACCTCAGCTCAGAAGCTCAAGAGCCGGGGCCAGTGAGTGCTACCTTCGACATGGCATTCTCAGGCGAGCGGCGTGCTGCGAATGTCCTGCATCGCATTGCCATCGTCGCCCTGATCTGCATCCTGGCCGCCTTTCGTTTTCCGCCCCATCTTCGAGGCGCACGAGCAAAGGTCAAGTGCAAGGAGCACTTCTGGACAGCCTGTAGGGGTCTTAAGCTTGCTGAGTTCAGAGTTGCTCCTGTGGCCCCCTGGCCCAACCGGTCCATTAGCATACAAGCGGTCAAGAGACTCCTTGAAAAGGACTGTTGCTTGATTCGTCCCGCTTGAGCACATTCAAGCACCAACCCATCAGCTCCAGCATGTCAAGGTGTGCTCTAGCGCAACTTGCCCAACGATTCGGTCTCCAGTCGAATGTTTTCGCTGTAGAGTTTCAAGATGTTTCAAGGTCTCTCCTGACGCTCGGACAGATGTCTGTGCCTCATCCGCCCGAGTGCTTCTGGTTCTGATTGCATGAGTATAGACGAGAGCCGCTAGCACACCTTGCATCACCTTGCATAATATGAGTCTCAGAGTTCGGTGACTGGGTGAGAGGCAGCCAAGACCTGTCGCCTTGCTGAACGGCTGCATCTTTGCAGCCGCGTGAAAGCAGAACTGTGTAGCCCAAAACCCACTCTGTGAAAAAGTCTACGAGCCTGCGCAGGATTTTGCGCTCTCCTTCCCCGCACTTCGAGCAGCGCACTGCATGCGCCCCGCTCCGGCCGACGTCGCTGCAAAAAAATCACTCGAGCCACCTGCCCTCACACCGGCAGCCGGCGTTGATCGTAGATCAAACTGGCACGATGTAGAAAGGCACGGGATATGCCCGCTGCCAAAGCACCAGCAGTGACTGACATCTCAGGGCCAGGCTTGCACAGTGAAGACAGCGGCCACATATTGAGGACCGTGGACGCTCCTGAAAGATCAGGCAGCTGTGGAAAACATGGAGAGTCTATGCAGAGCGTCTTCCTGGCACTGTCATCTTGAGTGAAGCCAAGACATTGGGCAGGAAGGCGGCGAAAAGCTTCCATATGCCATACCTCAAGAGCAGATGTTCTGGGCATTGCGATCGTAGATAATTCCAGCGCAAGCCTGGATACCACACTCAGAAGCAGGCATTTCTGTAATGAAGCCGACAAAAGGCCAGCCCACAACAATGATGGCGATTCCAAGGAAGTATCTTCGAGCGCGGCAAAGGGAGTCTGTTAAGTCTTAGGCGATCGAGCTTCCGTTTTACAAGTCTGCGACCCAGTCGTGCCCTTCCACTTCTCTTTCCGGAAAAAGAACTTGAAAGCCTGACAGAGGCCCCGCACGACTCGGTCTGGCGCTGTGTGACCAACTCTCGCCTTCGTGGGGCCCAGAAGAAGGGCAAGACCAACCAAAAAGGCGACGTTCCTGGCATGGAAAATCAAGAGCCGGCCCAAGGGAACACGGAGAGAGAAGGGAGAGAATAGACTCCAACAGGCAAGAAAGATATGATTTCTCAGTGTCCCGGAACCCAGGCAAAGCGCACCCTAGCGCCAACAGGGTACGATCAAAGAGGAGGAAGACGCCGAGCATCACGAAGAGGACACCAATGCCGCACAGGCCTCATCTCAGCGCGAGGCCAGAGCTGAGTCCAAAGACGCCCTCGCTTCTTTGGAAGCTCGGAAAGGAGAAGGGAGAACGGGAGAACTCTGTCTTTTTCGAGGCACGGCTGTACACTCGCTAGCCGCTAAACCCAATTGAGCTCGTGACACAGGCTGTGACCCGCCAGGGTCGCTGTGACATCCCCTCGAGCCTGGGCTCTACACCGCTATCCGCCGCTCGGCCGCCTTGGAATTGCCGAGGCCCCAATCGGCCGCGAGGGTCCTCTAATGGGACCAGGCGCTCCCAAGGCGCAGAAACTCGTCACAGCCGCAGCATTTGAGCAGCCGTTCTACATTTTGGAAGTCTCCGGCACATTCAGATTCACATTCTCTTTGCCAGAAATCTCGTCACCTACTCCTCTGAAAATTCCAGAGGTCTCTTCACTCATCGGGGGAAGCTCACGCTTCGTTTGTCGCTCTCCTCGTCAGCTCTAGCCGCTCGGACTGCAATGGCAACGGCTGCAGATGGCCTGCGAGGTCTGACCAGGAAGGCCTGAAGTTCCGAAGGCCTCGGCAGACTGCGGAGAGCAAAACTTCACACTCACACTCTGAATCTGCTGAATCTGAGCAGCTCGGGAGGTCCCCGGGTATGTGCTGCGGCCACCCCATCTCATGCTCACCTCAAAGCAACTGTGCGGCCGTGTTTCTCTCTCTAACTCTGGTGCTGGGGCACCCTGCGACCTTCGTGGCTCACCTGCGTGGAGATGTTGTTGAGCCACCTGAGAGATGTATCGAAGCGAGGTGCGGGTCGCCAGGAAATCGCTCGCCCGCCTGTTCAAGCCGTCCTGGCAAGCCCAATCCGTGACACACGGAGTGTCAGCGACATGTGACAGCCAAGCTCCTGCGCCACGGCCACCACAAGCTCGGCACCTTTCGAGGATTCAAAACTCTAGCTCTGCACCGCTACTGTCGGAGTTGCGCACGCTGCGCACTGCGGCGGCCGATACGTCCGAAAACCTTCGGGCTTGGGGCCCCCATCTGGCAATCATGCTGCAAAAGCTTGCATGACGACCACCACGAAGACGACGGCGATGATGGTGATAGTGATGGCGATGGGGATGGCAATGGCGATGGCGATGATGATGATGATGATGATAGTGATGATGGTGATGATGGTGGTGAAGGTGAAGGTTGATGATGATGATGATGATGACGATGATGATGATGATAGTGATGATGGTGATGATGGTGGTGAAGGTGAAGGTTGATGATGATGATGACGATGATGATGATGATGGTGATGGTGATGGCGATGGCGACGGGGACGGTGATGACGGTGATGACGGTGATGATGGTGGTGATGGTGGTGATGATGATGATGATGATGGTGATGGCGGTGATGACGATGATGATGATGGTGATGATGATGGTGATGGCGATGGCGATGGCGATGATGATAGTGATGATGGTGATGTAGTGAT